CACCTGGGATTGCAACATCAACTATCCACACTCTGTTTTTTAACACGATTGTGAGGTCAGGAGTATTGTGCTCCAAAACTCTGTCTGTCTGAATTTGGAAGTCCCAGAGTAGTTTGACGTGTTCATTTTCTGTAACTTTTTCAGGCTTGTGATCCCACCAGTTCTTTGTCGCAGGCAGATGGTCTTTGTGGCACAAGTTCCAATGAATCATCTGAGCAACGGTGTTGTGCCTCTGCTTGTAGTCTGTCTGCGCGATCTTCTTGCAGCAGCTGAGAATGGGATCTATTGTTTCATCTGCTTCCTTGCAGAGTCTACACTTGGGTCTCGTGCTTCGCTTTTTGTATTTTTTCAGCCTCAGCCCCCTCCCCTTCTTTTTTTAACACCAGCATTAACGAAATCCATAGATAATAACACAGCCCAACCAAAACAATTTTTCCTTGTCTACATAGGGACCACCAAACGCAGCAATGCCCAAACACGAATCAAGGAACATGAAAGGCACCGCAGACTACTTCAACCAGAGAAGTCAGCCATAGCAGAGCACCTGATGAACCAACCTGGACACAGCATATTATTTGAGAACACAGAAATGCTGGACCACTCTCACAACCACCATGTCAGACTACACAGAAAAGCCATTGAAATCCACAAGCATGTGGACAATTTCAACAGAAAGGAGGAAACCATGAAAATGAACAAAATCTGGCTACCAGTATTAAAAAAAACTCTAAATTACAACAGCACAACAGCAGAGAGGAAACAAACAAGGACATCGAATCACCTCTCAACAAAAGTGTGCTCCAGGCACTGTCAGGCCATTATATGCTAATCAAGGTGGTCAGTTCCACAGATATATAAACCCATTTTCCTCATTCCAACAGACCTCACTACCTCTGAGGATGCTTGCCATAGATGCAGGCGAAACGTCAGGAGAGAATGCCTCTAGACCATGGCCATATAGCCTGAAAAAACCTACAACAACCCAATTTTTCCTTGGTGTCTTTGTATTTAGGCCTTTTCCTGGGGTTATTTGTGGTGCTGGTTCAGAAAATTGGATTGGATAGGACTACATCAGCTCTAGATTATTATGGTTTTCTGTGGGCAAGCAGATGGTGACTACTGGATGGCATATGTTCTGTATCAGAAACTAGAGCTGATATGGTCTGTCCAATGCAGCTTTTCTGAATCAGCACTCCAAATAACCAAACCGAATCTAAAGTTGATCAAAAACTAATTCGTAACCCTTTCGGTACTAATGTTGGAGAGTGCTCCCTGACCAAAGTGGTCCCTGGTAAAAAAAATGTTGGGAACCACAGCTTTAGACCAACTCTAAGGTTGCATCTACACTAGAACAAATGCAGTTTGACACTGCTTTAAGTGCTATGCCTCAATACTATGGAATCCAAAGACTGGTGAGGCATCAGCCCTCTTTGACAGAGAAAGCCTAAGGAAACTACAACTCTCAAGATTCTATAGTATTATCATAGTAAATACCTTCTAGTGGTGCTTATTTAAGGTGAGCAATGAAGCCAATATATATTCTATTAGGTTATCAGTTAAAGTGGTGTCAAACTGCATTCATTCTATAGTGTAGATGCACACTTAGGAAGCCCCGCTGTCACATTGAATGGAGAGCAGTTCTGGGGATTTTAATTCCCAAACATCTTGAGGACCAATGGGAAAGAACTACTCGCTAAGACTTTTCTGCCAGGATTTGGTAGCGTTAACTCTTGTATTCCACTCAAGAGGTAATTATCCACTGGTTTTAATTGTGTGGCTGCAATTACTCTAATTACTTTAATTAATTACTTTAATTAAGGGATTTAAAAATATAATTCAAAGAATATTCACTCCCCGAAATTTGCATTGAGACCACTGTTAGATAAGGAAGGATCCAATAGCCTCCCATTCCTCAGCCATGACTCAAATAGAAAATTGCTCCCCGCCCCAAGAAATTAATTAGGGCTGGTTAATTAGCTAATTAGTTAATTAGGACCAAAATCTATTTGATGCCAAGGGGAGCTTTCTTTCTTTTGCTGATTGTGAGGTGGCCGGGTAAGGATGCCGTGGCTGTCTTCGAAAGAGAAGACTATATTCACTTGTAAAACTACAACTCCCAGAACTCTATAGCTTTGAACCATGGCAATTAAAGTGGGGTCAAACTGCATTCTTTTTCATGGTCTGCCAGGGATTTAATTGAGTTTCTTTTTTGACTTGGGTGATGGTTGGAGTTACATACTAACTGTCCCCTGCCACGCGTTGCTGTGGCCCAGTCTGGTGATCTGGAAAATAAAGTAATGAGAAAGTGTTGGTTTCTAATATATGTAATTCCTTTATGCTTGTGAGTAAACAGTATTTCTTGTTGTTTCTTTGTCAGTGTTGATGTGGAGAGTGTCTGGTTTGCCTACTCTGGAATATGCAACATATCATAGTCCTTCTTTAAGGGTCTCTTTCAAATCTATGATACTATATCTGTGTGTGTGAGAGAGAATCATATCTATCTATCTATATTTATGACTAGATGGCTCTTTGTCAGGAGGGCTCTGATTACATTTTCTTGCCCTGGTGAAGAGAGTTGGACTGGATGGCCTTAAGTATTTTCTATTGGTCATGGGGGTTCTGTGTGGGAAGTTTGCCCCAATTCTGTCATTGGTGGGCTTCAGAATGCTCTTTGATTGTAGGTGAACTATAAATCCCAGTAACTACAATCCCAAATGTCAAGGTCTATTTCCCTTAAACTGCACCTGTGTTCATATTTGGGCATATGGAATATTTGTGCCAAGTTTGGTCCAGATCCATCATTGTTTGAGTCCACAGTGCTCTCTGGATGTGGGTGAACTATAATTCCCAAACTCAAGGTCAATGTCCACCAAACCCTTCCAGTTTTTTCTGTTGGTCATGGGGGCCTGTGTGCTACGTTTGGCCCAATTCCATCACTGGTGGAGTTCAGAATGCTCTTTGATTGTAGGTAAACTATAAATCTCAGCAACGACAATTCCCAAATGACAAAATCAATTTTTTTGAGTGGAGGACATACATTGGGTTGTTAGGTGTCTTGTGTCCAAATTTGGTGTCAATTCCCCCAGTGGTTTTTGAGTTCTGATGGTATCACAAATGAATATTACATTTTTATTTATATAGATCTATCTATGTGTGGAGGTTTTCTGTGAAAGTTTCTTGTTACCATGATTATTTTTGCAAGAAGACTTATTTTGGCCACTACTTCTCCAGTTGAACTGCACCTATTTTCATCAGTCTGTACTTCAGTTGCCAAGGAAGTTCTAATAGAGGGTCAGGGAGAACCTTGAACTTCCATAATGAAGAGTGATTAGAAGGCGCTTGCAAGATAATGAGCTTGCTAATTAGAGACGGATATTACAAGGGGTCTATTATCCCTCATTGACACTGAGCCCCTTTGAAGGAATTGGTTACAAGCTAGCGGAGTGTAGTTCAGGGACTGGTCATGTTTTTTTGGACAAGCGGAGGAGGAGGAAGATTGGAAGAAGGGAAGAAGTCTGAAAGCCAGGATGTAGGGATAGAGAGAATGTAAACAAAGGAATAGGACAGGTAAGGCACACTATGTTCGGAGGATGAAATAGCGAGAGGTCAGCAGATTAAGCAAGGGGCTAAATGACATGCTTTGTTAAAAGTATAGCACACAATTATACTTTACATGAGACTCAGCCTGATATAGTGGTTTTAGAATGGGAGATCAGGGTTTTAATCCCTGCTCAGCCATGGAAAGCCATACAGTGACCATGCGCAATTGTGGCTGGATCTACACTGCCATATAATCCAGTTTCTGAATCCAGATTATCTGTTTTAGATTATACTAGCAGTCCCCTGCCCTGCCACACATTGCTGTGGCCCAGTCTGGTGATCTGGAAAATAAAGTAATGAGAAAGCGTTGGCTTCTAATATATGTAATGTCTTTCTGCTTGTGGGTAAACAGTATTTCTTGCTGTTTTTTCGTCAGTGTTGATGTGGAGATTGTCTGGTTTGCATACTCTGGAATATGCAACATATCATTGTCCTTCTTTAGGTGTCCCTTTCAAATCTATGATACTGCGTCTGTCATATACATACATATATGTGTGTGTGTGAATGGCTGGATGGCCCTTTGTCAGGAGGGCTTTGATTATGTTTTCTTGCCCTGGTGAAGGGAGTTGGACTGGATGGCCTTAAGGCAGCATTTCTCAACCTGGGTTTGGGACCCCTGGGGGGGGGGGGTTGTAAGGAGGTGTCAGAAAGGGTCGCCAAAGACCACCAGAAAACACAGTATTTTCTCTTGGCCATGAGGGTTCTGTGTGGGAAGTTTGCCCCATTTCTGTCATTGGTGGGGTTCAGAATGCTCCTTGATTATAGGTGAACTATATATCCCAGTAACTACAACTCCCAAATGTCAAGGTCTATTTTCCCCAAACTCCATCTGTGTTCATATTTGGGCATATTGAGTATTCCTGTCAAGTTTGGTCCATCATTGTTTGAGTCCACAGTGCTCTCGAGATGTAGGTGAACTACAACTCCCAAACTCAAGATCAATGCCCACCAAGTATTTTCTGTTGGTCATGGGAGTTCTGTGTGCCAAGTTTGGTTCAATTCCATCGTTGATGGAGTTCAGAATGCTCTTTGATTGTAGGTGAAATAAATCCCAGCAACTACAACTCCCAAATGACAAAATCATAATTTTTTGAGTGATGGTCACTCCTTGTGTTGTGAGACGTTTTGTTGCCAAATTTGGTGTGATTTCATTCATTGGTTCTTTTGTTTTCAGGGTACTCATTACGCACAGAGCATTATATATATATATAGATAGGTCTTCACCCTTTCAATCAGAAGGGCCCCTGAATCAAAGCTGGGAGAGGTAATTTGTGGCAAGGGCAAAACGTTCTGCGAGATGTTTCTTAAATGCTAAATATGTGGCTTGTCCAAATGGACCTTGTATATCATCATTTCTGTAACTCATATCACACATCATCACTATCCAATGGTTGTCTTACCTGTGCCTTGTGTCTCTGTTCCTTAAATGGCAGATCCATTTGAGGACCACATTAGAAAGAAAGAAAGAAAGAAAGAAAGAAAGAAAGAAGAGAGAGAGAGAGAGAAAGAAAGAAAGAAAGAAAAAATCAAAATGGTTAGTACTAATTAACACAGTAAAGACATGACTAGGAAGTAAAAGCAGTGCTGCTTATAGTAGCATTTATTTAGTATTTAGTTAGAATATAATCCTCTAGAGCAGACATGGGCAAACTTCAGCGGGTGTTTTGGACTTCAACTCCCCATTCCTAACAGCTCAGGCCCCTTCCTTTTCCCCCTCAGCCACTTAAGCGGCTGAGGGGGAAAAGGAAAGGGCCTGAGGCTGATAGGAATTGTTGGAGTTGAAGTCTAAAACATCTGGAGGGAGGGCCCAAGTTATGTCTGTTTACAGGACGTGCCTTCTGTATGCCCAATGGGATGCCGGGGTGCCTCAGCTGAAGGGCCCCTTAGATTTCCCAACACAAAGTTCTATTGAGGCTCAAAATAAGTTCAACAAAGTTCTTTATTTGGGCTTAAATCTTCAAACAAATGAATTAAACGCTTTATAACCTTGGAAAACTGGTAGCTTCCTCAATCTGCCAACAAGGGCAGGCAACTGGTGGTAAACTGTTCCTTTCTTCCTTAGGGAAATCTTCTGACCCCTCCTTGGGCAATCTTTCTTTACCTTGCTGGCGTGAGGCCCCTACTCCTGGCTCCAAGCTACTTTATGGATAGCCCGAGTGGTCCCTTACCAGACAAGATTTCTGTAGATCTGCCAGGCTGAAAGATGCCCTTTAGATTACTCCATGAAGACTGTAGTAACTGTCCTGTTGCCCCAGCAAGGGCTGGCTGTATTCCCCCAGCAAAAGCTGTGGAACTATTCCTTTACTTCCCCAGCAGAGCTGTGAGTAGTGAAGCCTTTGTGCAGGTGGGATAGAGAAACCCACACGTCTTGCTGTTAGGCTCCAAACAGTGAGACTGAACAAAAGTCCTCCTTTGCCTCCAAAACCCTGGGAAAAGGGCGGGTCTAAAGACTCTAACGATGATTGCCAGGTTGCTGGCCCTATGACTGCAACTTGGGGAAGCTACCTGATTGCAAAAAGCATGGCTTAAATAAATTCATACAAACTAGCAGTGCAAGAAAAAGAGGTTCAAATCTCCTGGCACTGCCATGCCAGCACAATGGGAGTTGAAGTCCAAAACACCCGGAGGGCTGAAGTTTGCCCATGCCTGCTCTAGATGTTGGCTTGCAAATCCCATCAACTTTAGTTTCCAGATTCCACAATCTATGTTTTTTTTAAAAAATAATCTATATGAGTCATTTGTTAACAGTCGAATGTTGGTTGAGCTTCCATTTTTTCTACACTTAATGTTCTGTAAATCTCAAGAAACAATTTATTTCTGACTTCACGGCCGTATGCAAAAATGATTTTAAGACTGTATGCATTAACAGCGATCGGTTACACGGTTCCTCGGGCTCCGAAGTTTAGCTATGATATCATTCTCATTGGCAAAGCATCAAAGGAAACATTGTTTTTGCCCTCCAAACCATCATAATTAACAACCAGCATTTTAAATGGCTAATTGGACACAATGTAGATTCAGCGCACACTTTTGTAACCTAGAATAGTGTGCTTACTGAGTAGACAGAATTGAACGTATAGCTAACAAGTGTTGGATGATCATGCTTTGCTAAACCTATTGTTCTCTAATAGCCTATGGTGTCTGGTTGATGGGAAGGAAGGAGAATGGAAGCAAATGCCTCAATACTACTACTACTACCTCTATTACTACTACTACTACTACTAATATGATATTATAATTATATATATTATATTACATGTAATATTACTAATAATATTACAATATAATGGTATAGTACAATATAGTAATATATAATACTGATATTGTACTATGCTAATAATATAATATATTGTATGTATATATATCTTGTAAGCTGCTCTGAGAAGGGTGGCATATAAATGTTGTAAATAAACAAATAAATAAATATCTGGGTTGCTCTGAGTTTTCCCGTCTATATGGCTATGTTCCAGAAGCATGCTCTCCTGACATTTAGCCCACATCTCTGGCAGGCATCCTCAGAGGTTGTGAGGTCTGCTGGAAACTAGGAAAATTGGGTTGATATCTCTATGGAATAATATCCAAGACAGGAGAAAGAACTCTTGTCTATTGGAGGCAAGTGTAAATGCTGCAACTGGCTACCTTGATTAGCATTTAATGGCCTTGTAGCTTCACAGCCTGACAGATTGCTGTCTGGGGGATCCTTTGTTGGGAGGTGTTAGCTGGCCATGATTTATTTTTGTCTGGAATTCCCGGTTTTTTAGTGTTACTCTTTATTTATGAACCTCACAACCTCTGAGGATGTCTGCCATAGATGTCGGCAAAATTTCAGGAAAGAATGCTAGAGGAACATGGCCATACAGCCTGGAAAACTCACAGCAACTCAGTGATTCCAGTCATGAAAGCCTTCAACAACACATTGTCTCAATATCCTTCCCTGAATGAGAAATTTGCCTTGTGGAGGGCCACTATTATCATTATGCAAAATTATGGGAATGTCACCTGAAATGCAGAAGGAAAAATGACATTTTCTTATCTAATTGGTTTTGAAGCTCTCCAAAGTTTCCTACCTTAGTTCTAGGATGCTGATAGAATTTCCTGAAGGAAGAAGGCGCCGGACAAAATTGAAGTCTCCAATATATATGCTGCCGTCGGTACCAGAAGCCATGGCGACGGGCGCAAAGAGTTTGCTGGTGTGAGATGGGCCATTGCAGCTGGCACAAGAGACACTTCTCTGGTGCCCATTGCCCATGACGGTGGAGATTACTGGTGGCTGCTGGGAGATGAATATATTTTCTCCGTTTCCTTTGTGCACGATACCTTGGTTGAAAAGAAAACAACAACATACAAACAAAATAAGTGCATATACTTGTGTATAGCATTTGGCCTGGTCCTATTTGCCATCCTGCTGGTAAGTGAATCCTCAACGGAAAGCCCTATCTCTGAATTGAAGAAGATTCCCAAGTTGGAGCTGGAAGAAACCACAAGAACCATCCAATCCAACTCTCTTCCTTGCAGGAATACAAGTAATTCCCCAAAGCTAGGGAACATGAGTGACCAAAAGCGCCTAATCTATCTATATAAATAAAAATGTACTGTTCGTTTGTGGGATTGACATAACTCAAAAACCACTGGACGAATTGATACCAAATTTGGACTCAATTCACCTATCAGGCCAACAAGTGACCATCATCCATAAAAACACTGAAAAACACAGCAGAAGAGACTTAAAAAGCCAAAAAGTAAAAACATACATTACAACACGTGCACAAAACCACACACACGCACACATATATGCAAACACACATATATACACAAATATGTACACACAAAGCACATATACACAGACTGGGCCACAGCAACCTGTGGCAGGGGACGGCAAGTACTGTCATATAATATAATGCAGTTTCTTATTAGTCAGTGTAGACTCATATAATGCAGTTTTACTGCATTGAACAGCACTCTATACTTACCATATAGTGCAGTTTCAAGTTATATTATATGGCAGTGTATATGCGGCCTTTCCAACTCCTCCAATTTAGGCCCCCTCAACACTACCCTATATCCCAGGATCTGATCCCAAATTATCTGTTTATCCCAGATTACCTGACAGTGGAGACTCATATAATTCAGTTCAAAGCAGATAACCTGGGATCAGATCCTGGGATATAAGGACAGTGCAGAAGGGGTCTTAGAAGATCTTTCTCTGATGGAGATTTCCTTGTAGGTTAGTGGCTCTCAACCATTGGGCCTCCAGATGTTTTTGATGTCAGCTTCCAGATGTCCTCGTCAACATGAGCAATGATTAGAAATTCTGGTAGTTGAAGTTCAAAACATCTGGATAACTCAACATTGGAGGCACTGTTCCAGGTAAAGTGTTATCAGTGAGTAGAAAATCATCACAAGTAGACCAAGTTCCACAAACAACACTTTTGCCCTTCATCTGTCCTCTGTAGGTTTTGGCCTCAAAGCCTTCAGTGTATTGTCAAAGGCTTTCATGGCTGGAAACACTGGATTGTTGTAGGTTTTTCAGGCTGCATGGCCATGTTCTAGAAGCATTATCTCCTGATGTTTTCGCCTGCATCTATGGCAGGCATCTTCAGAGATTGTGACCTCACAAAACACCTACAACAACCCAAAGCCTTCAGTGTTAGAATGGTGATACTATAAGTAGATTAAGAGGGGTGTGGGCTATTACAAAAAGATCAGGAGCTAAATTTAACCACTTGTCCCCACTAGCATAGCTCCATTGACTCAATTCTCGAATGGTAATCAATATTTTTGTCAATCCCATTGATTTAGTTTGCCTGCTCTAGTTATGACTAGCAATTAACTCAAAAATCCTTTTTGGTGAAGTAGGAAACAACCTGAAGGTACACAACAGCAAGAAGAACAACTAACTTAAGCCAGAACTGGAACTATCCAGGTCTTCTGATGTTGCTGGACTCCATGTCCCTGCTATTGTTGCCAGTCTGAAAATCCCAAAAGCATTATAGCTGATTACGAGGAAAACTGGGAGTTGTAGTCCAGCATCACCTGCAGGCTACATCATTTCCATTCCAGTTCAAATTTAGTTGCTTGCTCCAAACAGACTAAACACACTGACTCCATGTTTTTACTAAAGTGTTGATTGACCATCTGGAAGTTGATTCAGTGACTTTGTTTTAGTTGTGGTTAGAAACCGTGGGCAGGAGAAGGAAGCTTGGGGAAAGGGCTATGCTTCCCTATTAGTGAACATCTCAGTTTGGGATGTCCAAAGTTACGGCAATGAATATGGTAGGGGCAGAAGTAACCCCGGTGGCGCAGCATGTTAAACCGCGGAGCTGGTGAACTTGTTGACTGAAAGGTTGGGGTTTGAATCCAGGAAGCGGGGTGTGCTTCCACTGTTAGCCCCGGCTTCTGCCAACCTAGCAGTTCCAAAACATGCAAATGTGAGTAGATCAACAGGCAGGAAGGTAATAGTGCTCCATGCAGTCATGCCGGCCACATGACCTTGGAGGTGTCTACGGACAACTGGCTCTTTGGCTTAGAAATAGAGATGAATACCACCCTCCAAAGTTGGACACGATTGGACTTAATGTCAGGGGAAAACCTTTACCTTAGAAGTAACTAGCATGTAAATAACAATCAAGATGGATTCCAGACTGGTCTATCTCAAAAGAAGGGTGGAAGTGGGTGTCCATTACAGAAAACTACTGAAAAGTTTTGAGTATTTTTCAGAGGGGGAGAAATATTAAATTGCACTGTAAACTATATATATAAAGTGGAATGAATGCTGTTTGATGCTGCATTGAAATAATGATGCCTCAGATGATGCCTGAGGGGAAGAATTGTTATCAAACAACTTTTGTCTCCTTCCTAACCTGTGGGAGAGGGAATAAACTAAAAAACATCTTTCTCACATAACGTTCTTTTTTATTAAAGTACTGGTATTGTTGCTTTGAACATTAAGCCTTTTCATTCCAAGGCAGAGAGATACTAACATTGGATCTCCTTGGTAACTTCATTTTCTCATGCTGTGAAATCATCAGCAGAATGACTTGTTATTGCTAAGTATCCCACAGTTAAGCAACAAAATATTCTTGAGATGCAATTCCAAAAGTTTTCTTGTTTTTAGCAATCAGCCTAAACAAGCTTCCAGCCGTAGCAATCCATAGATGGAAAAAGAAAGCAAATAAAATACCAGTAATGTCCAACCATTCCCACTTAACTACTGGCCACATATACTCATACACAGTATAGTTCCTGAGTTACAAAGATCCGACTTTCAAGGGACTTATAGGGCCCTTCTACACGGCCCTATATCCTAGAATATCAAGGCAGAAAATCCCACAATGTCTGCTATGAACTAGATTATCTGAGTCCACACTCAGAGAATGTGGGATTTTCTACCTTGATATTCTGGGATATAGGGCTGTGTGGAAAGGCCATAGTTATGATGTGAGACAACAGGAAGTGACAGAAATCTACAGCTAGGAAATGAAATTTACTCCTGAAAGAGTTATCATAGGGAAAAGGTGTCTCCACTGAAACTTTATCACTAATCGTTTCCACAAAAGCCAAATTTTTCAAAATCCAATTATCACAGGAACAGAAAGTGAGGTGATATCTTCTGAATGAAGTCCAAACATCTGGAGACCCACAAGTTGAGAATTAGGATTGTTTGATAAAAAAAATGGTTCAAAACTCGTTTCAGATGCTGGTGGTTCAGATCTAAAGTCAATTCCGATTTTCACAGAAAAAAACATTCAAAACTTTCTGAAACTTCAGAGACTTCCGAATCCTTCATTAATGGTTTCAAAGTGTTATTTCCTGTTTCAATGGGTGGTCTTTACTTTGAAAGTAGTTGTTTTACACCAGAGGGAAAGCAAGCAGAGGAAATTCCTTCCTTCTCTGGTTTAAAACTGGCTTCTCTGGCTTGAGCTGAGGCCAGGGACCAGAAGCGGGGAAAGCAAGCGGAGGAAATTCCTTCCTTCTCTGGTTTAAAACTGGCTTCTCTGGCTTGGGCCAAGGTCAGGGACCAGAAGCGGGGAAAAGCAAGCGGAGGAAATTCCTTCCTTCTCTGGTTTAAAACTGGCTTCTCTGGCTTGAGCCGAGGCCAGAGACCAGAAGCGGTTAAAAGCAAGCGGAGGAAATTCCTTCCTTCTCTGGTTTAAAACTGGCTTCTCTGGCTTGAGAACTGGCTCTCTGGCTTGAGCGAGGCCAGGACCAGAAGCGGGGAAACAGCGGAGGAAATTCCTTCCTTCTCTGGTTTAAAACTGGCTTCTCTGGCTTGAGCCCGGAGGCAGGAAATTCCTTCCTTCTCTGGTTTAAAACTGGCTTCTCTGGCTTGAGCGTAAGGGACCACAAGTGGGGAAAAGCAAGCGGAGAAAATTCCTTCCTTCTCTGGTTTAAAACTGGCTTCTCTGGCTTGAGCCGAGGTCAGGGACCAGAAGCGGGGAAAAACTAAACAATTTCCAACTCACTTCCTTAGTCGTAACAAAAATGGTGGAAAAGCTTCAAAAGGGCAAAGGGACTTCCATTTTTTTAAAAAAGCTTCAATATCATTTCAAAAAGGTAATTTTAAAGAAATTATTACGAGCAACGAGTTATCCTACATGACTCTATCCATGTCTAGTGTTTACCCTTCCCTCTACATCCCAAAGCTTATATATAATTATGCATCATGAATGCTTGGAGTTACACTTTCAAAATGTACCTGTTCCGACTTACATACTAATTCCACTTGAGAACAAACCTACAGAACCTCTTTTGTTCATAACTTGGGGACTGCCTGTATAAGCATTGTTCAGCCATTGAGACATTCTTTATAATGTGCTGATGATAAGGAGACAATTTACTTGGATTTTCATGGGCTATACCAACTCATTTAATTCCGCAGTGATATCTGAGTTCATATCCTGCAATGACCCAGCTTCTGGGACCCCCAAGGTGGCCACCCTCCATTTGGGTAGGCCTGTTTGCCATAATATGGGCTGGCAGGCCCTCGGAAAGCCTTGGCACTTAGGCAGTCATCCTTGCCAAAGCTTTACAAGAAGTGGCACCAATGCAACCCTTGCCGGGTAAAACCTGTGAATATTTTATGGCCATTTCCACAAGGCAAGTCTGAGACTGAAAAGCTGCTGATGGTGAGACAGCTCTTTGTTATCCTCTTGGAAAACAAACCGCATCACCCACCAGTGGCCAAAGGGACTCTGGACCTTTGCATTTCCAGTAAAGCAGAACCAAAAGACAAAGTAGGATTTCTAAGTCAACGTTTCAGATGGCTTATGAACAAATATGAATGTATACTTTAAAAACAAATGCAAAAAGAACAACAAACTTTCCCGGAAGACAAATAGTGGGTTGGCTCCTAATAACAAATCCAAAGAGCAGAGAAATGATATTTCACATGTTATTTATGACTAACATAAGGCAAGATGCGGATATCTCTTTGGGGGTTCTTTCAGTTTTTAAGAGCAGCTCGGCCAAACGCCAAGGTGCTTAATGACCTCCTCCTCGAGCGGAAAGGATCTGCCAAAATGACAGGAGCAGTTGGCCTTTGTCTGTGACTAAGTGTGGAATGGAAGAACCCTTCATCTTTCTCCCACAAGTAACAATATATAATCAGTTCCCTGAAGACTCCGCTCAGCTGAAATATGTGCAAAGGTTTTGTTTATAGTCAGCAACAGAAACAATAAGGGCTTTTGGTTCTCCTGGTGCTCTAAAACAATGTCCAAATCTTGCATCCACAACTAAGAAAATCCACAACTAACAATTGCCACTGCCCTCATGTGTATTTTATCTATGTATTTTAACTATGTTCAGGAATGAGGGAATAATAATAATAATAATAATAATAATAATAATAATACACTTTTGGGCTTTATAAAGCAACCCTTCCACCTCATTGAAAGGACCATCCAATGTTATGTAGTTTCCATTGTCCCCAGACTATTTTAGGAGGACAAAATACTCAAAAATGGTTGAAAACGACGTCTCTTGACTGTCCAAAGGCAAACTTACCAAAGAGAATCCTATACTAATGGGAATCATTGCAGGTTAGGACTAATGTTGTGCCAACTTTGTATGTGCTTCCTGGCTCAGTGCTTTCTCTTGTGGGAAGGATGGGGCAGATAATGCCTAACATGTTGATCCACAGAGTTAGTGACACTTGGATAGGGCCCACAACTCTCCGGTTCAATAGTTGGGCCAATGTGGTGCCATGGCTTGAGCATTGGGCTACTACTTTGAAGACTAGGCTTCCAGTCCTGACTTGACCATGGAGTTGCACTGGGTGACCTTGGGGAAGTGACACGCTCCAGCCTCAGATGAAGGCAAAGACAAATCTTTCAGAACAAATCTTGCCAAGAAACTCTATAACAGGCCATAAGTAAGACTGTTGGAAGTAGCAACCTTCTTCATGCCTCCACTAGCAATTTGTTTGCATATGATTCTGTTTTGCTTACTATATTATTACGAAGTCTGCACGCAGCATTTGTACAATTGTGCCAATTGCGAAGGTGCTGCAATTCCAACAACAGACAGGGTATAGGGACTCTATCTTCAAAGATCCCACCCGCTGTCACTAACTGTACAGTTCGTTCTTAAATTCTGCCACCAAATATACAGGTGTGGATGATTATGGATGTAATTAATCTCAGGCCTCAATAGTGTACAAGAATTTGTTATAGGTGAGGCCAATTATTACTTGTAAGTTAAGGTAACTGCCACCAACGTGAGGTATCGCCGATGAGAACTGGCTCCCCAGACGCAGATTAATGGAGATGAGACAGTCTTCAACAAAAGTTAATAAGTTTATTTTGTACAAAGCGTATGGTTGCAGGCTGTTAAATGACTTGGAATAACTTATAGAACTTTGAATGTAACTTGGTTTGTGATACAGTTCACTCTTCTAGTTGACACAACTTGTGATTGACTTTTACTGAGGTGAAGCACTTTATTAAACAATGTTTCCTAATGTGAATAGCCTTCCAATTTGATCTTTTCTTGATCAAATCCCAGATCTCTAGTCCTTCCCTGACTAGTGATCTAAACGAGCTTCCTTTAGTCCTCTCTGACTAAAGAAACTATTTAGGTTTCTCCCTTCAGCCTTCCTAGACTGAAGAAACCTCCGGCTATTTATACACACTGCTCTCCACTCTCTCAACTGCTAACTCCGACTCTCAACTCTAAACTACCAACTGCTTCTTTTCAAAGACGCAGATAACATTTTCTTGCTTGGCTCCGCCCACTTCTCACTCTCCTGCCTGGTCTCCTTGGCAACCTCCTGTGGATACAACCAGTTAACTCTAGTTTTCAGCTACTGTTACCAACACAAATATATTCTAACAGTTAAACATATACATAATATCAATGACTTCTGCACAATTATATATGTATGTTTTGGTATGTAGCTTTCCCTTTATGTTTTCTTGAGGTTGTGGGAGGGGCTGCAGACCACATGATCAGATCTGAGACTGCTCAGAGCTCAGACTCCATTTTAAAGGACAGACTTCATTGGACTCTCAGACATCATTGGACTTTGGACTGTTAAGAGCAAATTCTTGTTGCTGTTGATTGTAAGAAAGATGCCCTGTTTTATCTGCACAGAGCAACTACTTCAAAACTGGATTGACAAGTTATGTACCTGTATACTGAATACATGAAGGTTGTGAGTAAACCAGATACGTTACTTTTAATGAAGTCTACTTTATTTTTGTCTCTTGAGAGCATGATATTAGTTCAGAGAGCATCTGAACATTAGGAAGAACTTCCTGACTGTGAGAGCCGTTCAGAGTGGGGTGGAGGCTCCTTCTTTGGAAGCTTTTAAGCAGAGGCTGGATGGCCATTTGTCAGGGGTGATTTGAATGCAATATTCCTGCTTCTTGGCTGGGGGTTGGACTGGATGGCCCATGAGGTCTCTTCCAACTCTTTGATTCTATGAATTCTATGAATCTATGAATTCTATGTTAGAGTAGATGTTTTTGGGGACTGAAAGAAACACTTCTGAAGAACTGCTGTATTTTTGTGCATTGGCATAATCTCTGTTCCTAACAGATCGGAGACAACTAGGTTATCAGTCTAACAACTGAAACCAATTTGCATTGCATAAGTACATGTGGTTATATACCACTGAAGAGAAGATTTTACTCAAACAAGTTTTTGGCTCTTCTCTGGAAGATTGTAGTTTTACAAAAGGTTATGATTTTCAAATGGTTGTGAATGACATTTTTTCTCCAAAAGGTTATGGAGATTCTGGTTTTCCAAAAAGACATGATTGGAAGGCACGCAACCATAAACAGAACAATAGTACATACATTTCTAATTTGTAGATGCCTCCTGGGATCTCGGAACAGAGTTTTGTTTTAAAAGTTCTTTGTTCTCTGATATTGGATTCGACAATGGAGGAGATCAGTGGCTCTCAACCTGTGGGTCCCCCAGATGTTTTGGCTTTCAATTACCAGAAATCCTAACAGTTGGTAAACTAGCTGGGATTTCTGGGAGTTGTAGGCCAAAACACCTGGGGACCCACAGGTTGAGACCCACTGTTATAAGGGATGCTTTAAGGCACTCTGCATATGCTCCAGAAAGGGCTTTCAAAGACAAGCTCTTCCACATCCTGCTCAAATGAATCTCTGCTCAGGGAAAAGAACTCAATGTTGGAGATTGAAAACAACAACATCTTTTGATTTGACTTCAATTAAAATGGTTTGGGTATGTGCATAAATAAATATATATATTACTAAGAGAATGGCCACAGAGGGAATAACGGTCAGACAGACAGATGCAGCCAAGGAATGGAATGGAAAGAATGAAGGGAGGCGCTGCCGTTTTAATTGCATTCTTGCTGTTATTTCTGCTCATATGGATGACATTTCTCACCATCTTGCCCTGGCAATTACCTTCCAGCAGAACAAATGATCTAGTTTAGTTGACTGCTGCCAAGTTTGCACGAAATAAGTTCGTGAATTAAAAAGTCACTCAAAACGTATCCTTTTCAATTCCCCATATGCCAATTAGAAATGTGCGAATGAGCACACGGCTGCCTTGTTGAGATTCTTTGACTTTGGCATCTAAGCCCATTTTGACTTGTGCCTTTATCAGATTATATATATATATATATATATATATATATATATTCCTTTCGTGGAAAATTTTGCACACATTTTGCATACAAATCTTTCTCAGTCCACATGTTTGAGGGATACCAACTCTTTTTTAACCTGAAACACATTTGCCATCCATCTCTAATGTCAATGTGAAAAAGTGCAGCCTGAACTTTACAGTAGACTTTTAAAGGTTTGAATCGTGGCATTACCCTTAAACATATATTTTCCATGGCTCAAACTGATGCGACCTCTTCTTGAGATTTTAGTGGGGATCAAGTGGTAAATTATTTCTGACCTTTCTGCTAATGAAGTTTCATGGTGCAGGCTGTTCTTTTCCTGCAGCTGTGCTCAAATTACGGAAGAAGAAGTAGAAAAAGGGGAAGGACCTTAAGCTCTTCCCGTGATTTCCCACAAGCCCTTCCTCTGATTTCCCCCAAAGTTTCTGCAAATCACTACTGCTGCATCTTTCTGAAAAGAGTTTAATAACCAATGTACTTACCACTCTGTGTGTTCAAAATATGGTGTTTGTCCAGGGACCAGCCTCCCAGATTGGAAGCATCCAGCTCAAATCCCTGCAGGGTTACAGTCCTCTTTTCCCAAAGAATAAAATCAGGGCAGGTCTCATATTCATAACCCACTGACACTGGAAAGAGATAATAAAAATATGTTTTTGGTAGTTAATATGATGTAATATAATGTATATGATGTAATGAAGTATTATCTTTCGACCTTGCTAGCTTAGCATTATCAATTAAAAGAAGCATGTTTCCCTCCCGTTCCAAAACTTCCAAACAAAAACAAAATCAGAGATGGTGCCTATATGGTGCTGGTACGGCTGTATCTTTCACCTTGATTAGAAGGCTCCTCAGCTCCTCCTCGCTTTCGGCCATCAGAGTGGTGTCATCTGCATAGGCAGCCTATTCCTTCTTAATTTAAAGAGAAATGGCAGCCTTTTTGGCTTTGCCTTGCTTGCACTGAAAATGAAACTAACTTCTAACCATTACAGAATGCAAACAAAAAGGAATTGGGTATCATACACCTGAGCAGGAACACTGTTCTGTCGCGCGCTGGGCCCGTAACAGCTGTCTTTTCTATAGGGCGTATACTTTAAGCCCAGCGGGAAGTCTCTCAGCCTCACAGCAATCTGAGGGAAAACAGCCCTGAAGTTTTCAAAGAATTCTCGGAGGGAGGACAGCATTACAAATCCACGGAACTCCAGCTGAAATATCTACAAGCCTCGGCTGGTAGGTCTAATTGATACCCAGGTGCATTTGGAATCGGTAGTAGGACCCACACCGATGAGTCATAGATAGTAAACAGCCTGGGAGAGGTTAAAAAGGGTTTTTCCTACAGAGAAAGTTTAGTTAATCAAAGTCAGGTACCAGTCCATTGAGGACTAGACTAAGAAAGCCTTGAAGTGTTGTTTGAACCATTGAAGATTTGTTGTTTGTTCCATAATAAAGACTTTGTTGTATCATTAAAGACTCTAAAGACCATCACTTCAGAAAAATCCCTGAGAACCTCTCTTTGAGGCGCCCCTGGCTTCCCGCTGGGCTTAAAGTATACGTCCTATAGAAAAGTACAGCTGTTACAGGCCCAGCGCGCGACAGAACAAAAACCATTCCTTCTCCCAGTCTCAAGGCTAAGAATCAGAACACACACAGGCGAGCGCTACAGTAGTACAATATTTAAGCCTTACAAACTCTTTATTGGATGCGACAGCAACATCTTTGGCAGCTAGGATCCAGGCCGAGCAGGGAAAGCAAATGAAGCCATTTAGAAGACCGGAGAAAGCAGTACAGCTTTAAATATTAAGGGGTCTTTCCTGAGCTGAGCAGAATATAAAAACAGTGGTTGCCAGTTGTGAGATCCCCACAGGACTGGAGACTAAAGCCTTGTTAGGAGAATGCATTACAATACTATTATCTACAGGATGAGTATCCGGAGTTTCATTTATCCACTTCCGACAAAATATGGCCTTGGATAGGTCCTCCAGTATGACTCCATCATATTTTTGGGGCAAACATCCTTCATTTTAACAGGGTTCACTATTATAGTTTTGGGTATCCATGAAAAGTACAGGAAAGCATCCCCTGTGGATTAGGGGGGACGGGAGGGGTTGTCATTCATATACTGGTAGTGTGTGTGTATGTGTGTATGCATATGTATTAGGCTTGGGTAACCACGGAAAACTTTGGTTCTAAATTCGTTTTGTTTTTAGGGGGCCCTTGCGTTTCGTTTTTTTTTTAATAATTCTGAAATTTTCCTTTAAAAAATTTCGAAATTTATGAAATTTTGTAAAATTACGAATCGATTCGTTAATGGCGGACAAGATTGTGCAATATGCTAAAAAAAACCTCCAAATGGGACAGGGGGAACTTCTGAAGCTTCCCTCTCCCTCTGTGCAGGCGAAACGTCAGGAGAGAATGCCTCTAGAACGTGGTCATATAGCCCAAAAAAACCTACAACAACCCAGTGATCCCAGCCATGAAAGCCTTCGACAATGTCTTCATTATTGTTTCAGATTTGCTAGACTGATTTTATTGAAATCTTTGGATAAAAGACAGGATATAAATATTGATGTTTTCATGTCATTTTGACTTATCACAACCCTGAGGTGGAACTCTATCACAAGATTTTCTTGATAGGATTTGTTCAGAAGGGATTTACTTTCCTTTCTCTGAAGCAAAAGGAACCCATGGGTTTTCATGACAGAACAGTGATTAAAACTCTGGTTTCCAGAGTCATAATTCAATACTCAAACCACTACATCATGTCATCTCACAATAAACAAATAAACAGGGGTCATATGTTAAGAAAGGGGAAAACATGTTGCTCGATTGACCACAGCTATCTCTTACCATTGGCTGTGCTGGCTAAGATGTATGGAGTTGCAATTCCAAAACACTCTTTAGAACAGTGGTTCTCAATTTTACTAATGCTGCGACCCCTTCCTATAGTTGTGATGATCCCCAACCATAAAGTTATTTTTGTTGCTACTTTATAACTGTAATTGTGCTACTGTTGTGAATCGTAATGTAAATATCTGATATGCAGTATGTTTTCATTCACTGGACCACATTTGGCACAAATACCCGATACGCCCAAATTTGAATACTGGTGGGGTTAAGAGGGGATTGATTTTCTCATTTGGGAGTTGTAGTTGCTGGGATTTACAGTTCCACCTAAAATCAAAGAGCATTTTGAACTTCACCAATAATGGAACTGAACCAGACTTGGCACACAGAACTCCCATGACCAACAGAAAATACTGGAAGGTTTTGGTGGGCATAGACTTTCAGTTTTGGAGTTGTAGTTCACCTACATCCAGAGAGCACTGTGGACTCAAAACAATGTTGGATCTGGAACAAACTTGGTACAAATACTCAATATGCCCAAATGTGAATACTGGTGGAGTTTGGCGAAAATAGACCTTGACATTTGGTTATAGTTATAGTTGCTGGGATGTACAGTTCACCTGCAATCAAAGCGCATTCTGAACCCCACCAATGATAGAACTGGGCCAAACTTCCCACACAGAACCCCCACAACCAACAGAAAAGACTGTGTTTTCTGATGGTCTTTGGATACCCCCTTGCGACCCCCCCACCCCAGGGTCCCAAATCCCAGGTTGAGAAAGGCTGCTTTAGAAAGATGTGTATATTCTGCCCTTTGCAGCAGAAACAAAAAGTAGTGACTCTCCTCAAACTTCACAAGTCAATACAAACAGTGGAAAGGAAGCCACAAACTTAATCTCTGGAAAATAAAGCCCCACCCAATACATCAAAGTATTTTTTTAATTTCGTTTTGGTGAAGAATGTAAAATAAATTGCTGCTGCCAGGGCTGATGTGCCCCAGATCCTAGAAGGACCACTGTGCGCCTGGAGGGAATGTGCCGCCTGCAGAGATTCAAGAGTGGAGGCGCGATGAGGAAAAGATCCCCTGAAAACCAGAGATGATAATTGCTCTCTGCTCTGACAGGGAAGTGCTTGGCTTTTACATAAGCATCTCTCCTCTTTTGGTGAGGTGAGGAAACTCTAAGCAACAAAATAAAAATATATCCAGTAAGGGCAAATGAACAGCATATTCTGGAAAGAGAAGAAGTTCGCTCTCTGAGTGAGGTTATTGGTCCATCCAGTCCAATGTTATTTGCCCAGCAGTGGGTCTTCAAAAACCCAGGCATATCATGAGGTTTATATTAACTCTCAACAAGAGATTTCCCCCAGGCAATTGAATGCAAATCAAGGTGATCAGCTGAAACATTACCCTGGTCATTCCACAGATATATAAACCCATTTTTCCTAGTTCCAACAGACCTCACTACCTTTGAGGATGCTTGCCATAGATGCAGGCGAAACGTCAGGAGAAAAATTGCCTCCAGAACATGGCCATATAGCCCGGAAAAACCTACAACAACCCACTGATGGAATCGTTCCAGAAGTTGCATGTGATGTCTGTAGATAGTCCATGTCTCGCAAGCATATAGCAGGGTTGGGAGGACAATAGCTTTATAAACAAGCACCTTGGTATCTCTACGGATGTCCCGGTCCTCAAACACTCTCTGCTTTATATATCATCACCTTTTTGTGTGTATATATGTATGCATATGTCTGTCTATCTACCTATATCGGAGACCACTTTGAGGGTAGGACCCAACACTTTGTGTGGTTTCTCCATACCCTGGAAAAAAATTCAGAGCAGATGCATTGCCCCATTGAATAGGAAGATCCCACTTGTCAGAGGTGAAGAGAAAGGGATAAAAGAACCCCATATTCCTCTGTATTTTACCATTGCTGGTTCTGTTTTGATTAGTGTCTAAAACTATGATTTTTTTTACAGCTACCCCCAGATGGCAGTATATTGCCTAATTTTTCATTTTTGCTCATCTCTGGCGTGCATAAAAGATGTGAATGAGAGGAAGGGATTTTACAAGAACTGAGATACAGTAAAATAAAACAAGATTTTCAGATGTCGACACTTTTTAAGTGCCATTTAAAATTGTGTTAATTCAACCGGACAGCGTGCCTGCTGAGTGCCTAGTTACCTGGGCTTAGAGGCACTTCTTGAGCTAACCCAAACAGGGGCATCTGTCATGAAAGGATGAAATGGGAATGTACAACATACTTTTTATATGTGGCCAAATCTTCATGATGGTATTTCCAAGTAGTTCAATTCTATTAAGGTGTTAGTAGTGAAATCACTAGGGATGGTGTCATCCCATGGCCGACCTCCTACTGAATCCATGGCTTTTAAAAATATATAATAGTATTTGTAAATCGTTACTCTGACATTGGGCAAAGTCAGCAACTATAACAAGTTAGCACTGTGCAAATAGCAATGCTTGGTTATGGCATCTGCCAACATGATACTTGGGTCAAGACTTCTGTGAGAAAGTCATTTGGTTCCCTTTACAGTTACTGAAGGCATCACGTAGCCAGGTCTAAATAGTAGACTTGTGCATGGATCTGTTTTTAGCTGGTCCCTTTGGGCATTCGGCATATTTGTTTTGTTTGGGTGCCCAAAACAGCAAGGGGCCAGCTGTCATGGATTCCCATCCGAAAAGGGACCACATATTCGGCATCACAGTTTAGTCTTTTTGATTTTCCTTTATTTTCCTGATTCTTTTTATTTAGTGGGACTGACTGGGAGTTGAGGACCTGAGGGACGGTGGGTGGGGTGTGCGCATGTGTGCATTTGGAGGCTTTTTTTCTCCTTCCCTTCCTCTCCTTCAGAAAATACTTCTAAAAGATAATAATTATTATTAATAATAGTAATCCCAGTAAACAAAAAGAGAAGCCTACCTCTCTTCTAGAGTAAAAAGTAGAAACAGCTTTAAGGAGGCAAACCCCAAGCAGAATAGACATTGCAGGCAGGCAGTAGAGAAAACAGAGGGGTTTTTTAAGGTAGTCCAGGGAGGATAGCTCCACTGAGCTTGGGTTCATCGCTCTTCCTTCCCTGGGACTCCTTACAATGCCTTGGAAAGCTGTGTGGTGCTGGGAGAGAAAGCCCATGCATTTACCTCTCCTCTAAAGTTGAAACAGCTTTAAGAAGCATTAAACCCGGTCTCCTCTACAAACAGAAGGTAAAGGGTCCAGAAAGAGTGGTATCTTAACTGATGCTTTTTTAAATCCAGGTCTTAATAAAGGATACGGAAGGGGAACCTGTGGGAAATGCCCCACTCCCAATAATGGGCTGAATAGGGTGCTTTCTTAACCCCATTGCTGATACCCAGGCTCCCTTGAAGAGAAGAAAGGAAAGGCTCTCAGGGGAAAGGAGAGCCTCATATGTTCCCCATTGCGGCCAATGGGATGAAAAGAGCAGGGGTTTTTTTGGATGTAGAACGAAAACACCTATTTGGCAACACGCTAATTTTTGGGAGGTGCAAGAAAACAGATATGGGGGGCTTCCGGTATCCAGCAAGCAGAAACAGATAGTGATTCTCCCAAAATGTACAAGCCTACTAAGTAGACAATATCATATTCTGGTTCAACGAGACTCTATTTTCCCTTTTTCTAAAGCTTGGCTGCAACCAGTGTTCTGTAAATTTGGAAGCTCAAAGGTATAGATGAAGTATATTTTTAAAATATCTTATACTGTACACATAAATATTTATGCTGTTCAAACATGGGACTGTACAGTGAGGAAGGATGAAACACCACTCCTATGGATGGCAAGAGCTTGTCGTTAAAATGCATCGGTATTTTAAGACTCCATTCTTTTTTTCTAGAGCAATAGTTAAAGAGAAATCATGGCACCATAATTTCATAGTGTGGAAGGGTCTCAAATCTTTCAGCATGAACAGTCATGTATAAAGGACACTCAGAAATTATAACTGCATGTGTGACATGTAATACTTCCATCATAACCTCAAGTATCTATATTGGGGGAAAGGCAGGATAAAAATAAAGTAAATACATAATGAATACTGTTTCCTTGCTCTTTATATATAGAAACTAGGCTTACCCATTGCTTCTGCCAAACCAGACACCTTTTGGCCATAAATATCAGTCTTATTCCAAGCGAATGTGTAGACCATGTTGGTGGTAGCAGGGAAGGATTTCTGAGCCAGCCGCCCTTCGATAGTGACGGTAAGGTGCACTTTTGTCATTCCCGGAGGAATGATGGAATGGGTTAGAATAATCCACAGCAAGGTCTTGTATCCTGATGTCCGACTGCTCAAGTAGCTGAGCTTCACAAAGCTGTAAGGGATGGGGATTTCTTCCTGAACCACCTAGAAAACAGTTGTGCATGTTTAAGTCACTGCAAAACATACTGGAGGAAACCACATCTCAGGCTCTTTTGGTGGCTCAGCTAATGCCCCGCTTGGGAACATAATTATCATTATGGCTTCAAATTAAGCAGAGGATTGTGATTACTAAATGGTGAATTCATCTCAGGGTGCATCCAGGCAGCACCTAAAGTGCGCACCCTCTCATGTTTTCATGTGGAGCATCCAAACAACGCCCCACGTAAAAACAAATGTTTTTTGGACAAAGCAGGAAAACCCTGCTTTGTGCCGAATTAATTTGTCAGGTGGAAAGACCCGAGTCTTTCAGAAGATCCGGATCTTTCCAGCTACGGGTGCTGTATAGATGGGGACTGTGTATCACGTTGTGTGACTGCTGGTGCCCATCCACATAGCTGTCTAGAGTTTCTTCAGCTCCTGGAGTCAAAGAAACTCAAGACAACCCCCCCCAACCCCAACAAAAAGGGTGCTTCGACATAGCCCTTTACCCAGGAGCAATTGGGTTTTTAAAATGCAATTGCACCCAGGTTGATGTCTGCACACGCCCCAGAAAGCGCGTGCTTTTTGGGGGGTGGGGTCCACATGTCCTCCTGGGCTTTCCGGCAGGGTACCAGGACACAAAACAATGGTACTTTCACAAAATACCCCCCTGCCCAGATATTTGCAACTATTCTCGTAGCAACATGATTCTGCTTGGATTTTTCCCACCTGTAGCTCTGGTATGATAGTTCCCCGTTCTGGACACGATCCTCCAAACGATGTCAAAGGGAAAGGAAGGACAATCGGATTTGGGCTGATGAAGTTTGCGATGTCACAAGAGGGTGGCTCCACCTCTGTTCTTTGCATGACTACTTTGTCAACCACAATAAACCTATTCCAGGACAACCAAAGGGTCCTTTTCACAGAAAGAAATGGAGATCTGTCAAAGAGCAGAGTGACCGAGATGCCTCCAATAGCCACTAGGTCAAAACTGAAACAAGAAAACACATCTTGTTTTAATTTGATTTCAAAACAGTTCAAAAATAAATCACTTGTTTCCAACTTGATGCTTCCATTAAACATTTTTCCATTTTCCTTTCATACATTCACAATCATGGAATGGCTTTATTATTACTATTTCTTTTTCATTTTGTCACCAGTGAAAACATCTGCATAATTCCATTGCAGCTCTCAAGGTGGTTTGTAAGAAAACAGTACTTTAAATTTCTGTTGGGTTAGATCCACACATAGTTCTACTTGGAGTTATGTCCACTCTGTTGGAGCATGTAAGAAATCAGTGAGTGTGCAAGTATGTGTGTGTGCGCGTTTGTGTGTGTGAATTGTTAAATAAGATGCACAAAGTTGATTGGTTGGGTTACGCTTGGAGAGCAGGCTAAGCCTGGAACTTTTGGATATTGTTACATTTTTGTTCAGGCTCAAGCTATGCAGCTGCAGAGAGAGAAGAGAGAAGCAAAGAGAGACAGAGTTTGGAGTGCGCTCTTGCTTCATGAGCTGCTGAAGGAGTTTATCCACATGGACAAAAGAAATACCATTTTAGATTTCTCATAAAAGGACTTTATATGAGTTGATACAACTTATCACACTGTACATATGTTGTTCTGGATTTACGAAGAGTAAACTACTTGCTCTTTATGCATGGCATATTTTCTTTCTCTGGCAAGGCAGTGTGTAGGCTGATGAAACATGAACTATACGTGGTGTATTTTACATTAAGCCACTCTGCTATGCACAATGGGTCCAAAGTATGCCAGATTATTACTGAGCAGTTCTTAACCAGCAATATATGACCACTGATTGATTGATTAATTGAAGGAAAAAAGTGACTTTTAAACTGAGGCTTGAGTTCTCAGATTGCCAGTTGGAGAGTTGAGAGTTGGAGCTTGGAAAGGGTGTTAGCGAGAGCAGTTTGGGGTTTTGAAGAAGGACTTTGGGTCAGTCTTTTGTTTAGTATTCAGGGTAGCTATAGAGAAGTATAGCTAGAATACTGTGTGGGAGCAGAACCCCGTCAGTGGTCTGTTCCTTTCCTTAAGAAAGGCTAGTTCGGGTTTTGGCTAGTTTCCTAAGGGGGATTTTTGTGGGAGTTACTTTCAGAGATTCATTTCCTGAAGTAATTTTCTGTGCAGTAACTTTTAAGACTTGAGACCCAGAAGTTTTCAAGATCTCTTCTCAAATGTAACCATAAGCTTTGTATGCCAGATTTTTACTGAAACCATCAAGCATTTGTACCTGAAATAACCAAGTCTGTTCAAATAAACGTTCTTGTTATTTTTACCAACTTATACCAGCCTCAGTGTGAATACCTTTGTGGTAAAAGTGTTATTCAAGTCAGCTTTTTACCAGCCTCTAAGAAAACCAGAGTAACACAGAGTGTGTTACTGAACAACCTCTCAATAGTACCTCAGTCTGGTCTTTAGTAATATGATGGCAGCGGAAACCTTTTAAAGAATTTTTAAGTCTCTCAGTTCCAGTGGTTCCCAGTTCCTAACTGTTAAATAGACAGTTGGTCCAACAACTATTCTCCCTCTATAATTTTGATGAGCTTTTCTGGAGTGGTGTCATTGTTATAATTTTGTAGGCTGCTGTGTGATCTTTATAATTTGGTGGTACAGCGGTGCGATTCATTATAATCCTCTCCTAAAGGGCCTGGTCTAGGGGATGCTGGGAGCTGTAGTCTGAAAGAGAGTGTGGATATGCTATTGTGCATTTTCTTTGCTGGGGGAGTCATTTTTGCAAATGTGCTGTAGCATCTTTTTGCTATTTTGGATTTTAAGTCCCCTCTGCTGTGTTTTTCACTGTTTTTATGAGTGATAGTCACTTGTTGGCCTGATAGGTGTATTGTGTCCAAATTTGGTGTTAACTGGCCCTGTGGTTTTTGAGTTGTGTTAATCCCACAAATGAACATTACATTTTTATTTATACAGATAGTGTGAAAGGGCAGCATAATAACAAAAAAATTGAACATTCTCTTTGAGAGGAGAGATGATACCTCTTCAATCCATTATTGAAGTGGTATCAGTAGGGAAAACCAAACTACTTGGGAGAACTAAAGGTTTGCAGAAACACGCAAATCCTCCTCCTCAAAGCAAATGCCATTCTGGGAAAGAACCTGTGCAAAGCTCAGCAAAGCATGCTTTATGATTGAGTTTTGAGAAATGGGAAATCAAACTGAGAGGAAGAGGAAAAATGGAACCGAAGGCCTGGGATTTTAGAGAGAGATTGCTCTGCGCTGGATCATTTTGTCATGTGCCGCACTTGTATTTATAACTGAGCTGGTGGCCTATGACAGAGAACTCCTCTCTGGATTGCAGGAGAGGTATGGGGCATAAAATTATATTAGGCAGAGGAATTGATATGGTCCCTTATTATCGGAAGACTCTAACATGTATAGTCGGGTAGCGTAAGGCAGCGTAAATAGATACTTCACTCCATTACTGGATGCACCTCTTACAAAACCCTTTGATGGTAATGAACTGTGATCGGGAGTCAGGCCTAATTATGCATATTCCATCACATTCCCCCTCAATGATACACAGGAATAGTTGCGTGTGCATACATCTGAGTGCATTTTAATGCTCCGTCTCCGTCAAGAGATAGGTAAATCAGAAATCATAATTAGATAACTTGCTACTTCGACACTTTAAAATCACCGGAAAGATGGAATGCACATTAGCGCCATTACTTACGAGGCTCAGCATTGCCATGGATTATTTACTTGCAGCTTTACACTATTTACGCTGCTGATGCAGTCAAGAAAAATCATACCATGAAATCCCCTACATCTGCAAGTTTTAATTGGCTCAGCTGATTAATCGGCAGGGTCTCGCTCTAATCAGGGAGGAGAAATTTCCGTCCAGGAGTTTTGCATTAAGCGCACACTTGTTTACTTCTTCCAACCTGTTTTTCTCCGATGCATTACTAGCCTAGCAAGTATAATAATACAAAAAATGTAAAATACCGAAGGGAGGTCTCTTTCTTAACCAGGGATGGTAATTTTTCTACATTTAAATTGTGTCGAACTTCTTTTAATGTCTCAGATAGGGGAATTAATTGAAGTTTAATCAATTAATTAATCAGTTGCAAAGCAGACGAGTCATCTCATTTTATTTCTTTTTCAAATTGGGTGACAGACAGTTTGGGTTTTTCCATATGTATGTATCAACCATGTGCATAGCTAAAATGAAACCAAGTTCTCCATATATTGTGGCTCAAGGGATGCCTTACCTTCCATCTTGCCGGCTGATGGTGTAACCATAATCGCTGTGGTGCTGGAAGCTCACATTCACCCCAACCAATGGCGTCCCATCTACCGCGACTACCTGTCCTCGGACAACACAAGCACGCCTGCATCGAGACAAAGAGAATAGATCCAAGGTTAAAGGAAGACACTAAAGGAGTCATGGCCTGTATGATATTTATACCATGACGGAGACAGTATGGTGTAGTGGTTTAAGTACTGGACAAGGAGACTGGGAGACCAGGGATTTAATCGCAGCTTAGCAATGCAAAAGGCAGTGGGTTAAATCACTGAGATGAACTTGATGACCGAAAGGTTGGCGGTTCGAATCCAGGGAGTGGGGTGAGCTCCTGCTGTTAGCCCCAGCTTCTGCCAACTTAGCAGTTCGAAATCATGCAAATGTGAGTAGATCAATAGGTACTGCTTTGGCGGGTAGTAAGCATGCTCCATGCAGTCATGATGGCCACATGACCATGGAGGTGTCTACGGACAATGTCGGCTCTTTGTCTTAGAAATGGAGATGCGCACCACCCCCTAGAGTTGGGCGCAACTAGACTTAATGTCAGGGGAATCTTTACCTTTACTAGTGATGCAAACCCATTGGGCAAACTTCAGCAAGTCACATCTTTTAATGCTTTGAACAAGACAATGCCAAACATGAATAACTGAGAAGACCGTAGGAGAGCATCACCATACATCAAAGCCAACTTGGAGGTATATAATATTTACACTGTAAATGATATTTACCTATTAATGTACTGCAACTCAGAGAAACTTTAATATGCTTTCCTTTTCCAGAACCAATATTGTATATATGGCAGGTTTATGAAGACTGTTTTGGCTAGTACTTGTAATCTCAGTTAATCTATTGCAGCCTTTAATCCAGACCTTAATCTGAGTTATTCTTTCCTTTGGTAGGAGACATATCTTCCCAAAACATATAAAATATATATCTTCCTAGATTATATTCTTAATTTTTTCATTCTTTTAGAGATCAACTATTATAAGTTTTATACTGTCATTATACTGTCATGTTCTTATTTATTGTTTTTGAGTTTATCCGTTTATTTGTGTTACTGGCATTGAATGTTTGTGTCTTTTATTGGAAACCTCCCCGAGTCCCACAGGCAAGATAGGGCAGGTTATAAATAAATAAATTTATTATTATTATTATTATTATTATTATTATTATTATTATTATTACACATCTAACTAGGACCCTCTAGCTCAATCTTTTTAAACTGTCAGTCCTGACCCCAAGTGGGGTCTCCTTAACTCAATGTTGGGGGTTCAAAAAAATTGGCAACAGTAAAAGATTTCTGAATGCCACCTAGTGGCTGTTTTAGACATTTACACAAATTTGTTGTGCAGCATTTACATGGACTCGTCAGAAGATTATTCAGTTCTACTTCATAAAAAAAGGAGAGTCAGCCTGTTTAGCAAGACTTACAAATGCCATAAAAGATTTCATATCCATATTATATACCTTTATATCCAGGGATGCCTAAACATTTCTCAGGCAGAAAGGGGTTGCAAGTGGAAAGAGTTTAAGGACCTCACCACAAAGGTCCATGGGCTTGCCACACATAATGGTGAATCCATGGTGTCCTGGCAGGGTGTGTGGAAAACTTGCTCTATGACCCACATCACACAACTTACTGAGGACCCTATCACATTGGGGGGGGGGGAGGGGGAGAGTTGCCACCTGGCTTCCCCCCATTGTCCTAAAGGCAACATGGGAAGGCCCCTGTATTGCCACGGTAGCAGCATAAGCCACTTTTTCTCCCCTTTCCCGATGGAATCCAACCAGAAGTACATGCGTGTCATGTAATGGACTCCACTGGGAAAGAGGACAGCAAGTGGCGTACGATGGGGAAAGGAGCTCATCTGTGGAGTTTGCAAGAAGCCTTGCTCCAGCTAACCGCTGTATCTACATAAATTCAAGGTGTGGTTTCTTGCTGCTTCAAAATGACATAAAACCCACAGTCCAATATTTGTTTTTTTAAAATAAAATTATTGGTTATTAATTGTTAATGGTTTATGTTTTCACAATATGTGGAGGGATTACTGTATTTTTTCCCAAGGCTCAGAAAATCCAATTGGCAGCCCTTTCAACCCGCTAGGAATCTCTCTTGCTGGGCTTTCTTTTCTTTTCTTTTCTTTTCTTTTCTTTTCTTTTCTTTTCTTTCTCACATTCTCTGAGAGTGTCAGCAAGCCTGGGGGTTAGGGCAGATGCAGTAGATGGTGCTGACGTGGCCTTTCGAAAGGCTTTTGACAAAGTCCCTCACCAAAGTCTCCGGAGCAAACTTAGCAGTCGCGGGATGAAAAGAAAGGTCCTTTTATGGATCGATAACTTGTTAGAGAACAAAAAGCAGGAATAAATGGACAGGGCTTGCATTGGAGAGATGTAAACAGGAGGAACCCCCAAGGAATTCTGGAAACAGCTCTTTCTTTATTTGTTCAAAAATTATCTGGAGGAGCGAGGCAGTTTCATTTGCTGAGTAGTTACAAGATTCAGAGTAGTTACTCCAAAATGAGGAACTAGTGTGGTATGTGCTGGAGTTCAGCCTGTGATTGTGGGGAATGATGTCAATGAGGGTCAAGATGGTCAATGATTTTAATGCAGAGAATGACATAGAGACACTGGTTCAAAGTGTAGTTTCCTATGAGAATGTTCCTACAGGGGGTAGGGATGATAGTTTACTCCCTGAATTGCTTCCAGAGAGTTCCCAGGATTTGGGGCTTGAAAACAACTTGAAAGCAGGGACTAATGAGCATATAGACAGATGGGTGGAAATTAGCCAAAACAGACAGCTTGACCAAGGCCTTTGCCGTTTTGCCAGGCTTCAACAGATAAGGATGAGAGGCATTCAGGGAAAACGAAACCAATTTCTGAGTGCTTGGAATGGCTTAACGAGGAGATATAAAGTTCCCACCATAGGAAATATAGTCAGATGAAGCATCGTTTTAGAATCCTGCTAAGTTCTCGCTCTTGTCTTATGGAAGCCTTGCTTGGAAGATTCATATTTAAGGATTTCTTGTTATGGTTTGACTGTTTGTCTCTTGTGACATTATACTCATGCTTTGAATCAACGTTCTCCTGGTTCTTTGGATTTTATTAGAGAACTCTGGACTTTGTTTTGAACTTTACTGAACGCTACCTTGGAATACTTTGTGCCTGCTTATCTTCTTACCTAATTGGATTTACTTATTCCCTTAAAGTGCTTTTTTACTTTGCTGCTTTTACTTATCTTCAATAAAAAAGGATTATTTTCCTCCTCAACATGTGGTGTTTTAAAGTCAGAAGGTTTTTCCTGTTCTGGAGTGCAACAGCATGGTGGTTTGAATGGTGGACTAGGAATCCAGGAGAACAGGGTCTGAATTCCCACTTAGCCATAGAAATCGAACCAGGCGACCCTGAAAAAGTCATATTCTCTTAGCCTCAAGGTAAGGCAATGGCAATAGTCTCACCAAGGACATTTTACTGTAGGATCACCCTCAATAAAAGTTGATTTGAAGGCACCTAACAACAAGAACTCTAAAAAGCTCTCTTTCCACTGGAAGATTTGAGATTGCATTTCAAGTAGCAAATGAACTTCGCCATAAACAAATGGGGAATGATGCATACTGGGAGGTGTGAATTCCTAAATTCACACATATAGCTTGAGCTCATGTTAACTGGCAATAAAAGGCAAACTAGTACATAGCTACTGTTAAAAAAAACCTGAACGGAACACATTTTTTATCCTACAATCTTGGTTTTCACAGCTGGAATTAATTTCTCAGTCCAGTAAATCTCATCATCAAAACCAATGTCAAGATTTTTTTTGTATTTCATTACTTGGGGAAAGGAACCCATTTTGCATACTAGGGAAACAACAGTTTTTGTATCAGCTGTTCCACTTCTTTTCAAAGGAAATAGACCATCAAATTTGATGTTCTCAGAAATTCCATACCTGTGGATACAAATTTATCAGGTGTGAGAGATAGATAGATAAGATAGATGCACAGTAATACAACAGGCTATAAGAACACCAACTTCGTTTGAGTTAGACATCTGCATTAATGTCTAACTCAAAAGGAAGGTGTAACATTTATGACATTTTGGTTGGAAATAGCAACCTTCTACAAGCCTCCTATACTAGTTATTTATTATGTACTAGCCATCCCCTGCCACGCATTGCTGTGGCCCACTCTGGTGGTCATGGGGGTTCTGTGTGGGAGGTTTGGCCTAATTCTATTGTTGGTGGGGTTCAGAATGCTCTGTGATTGTAGGTGAACTATAAATCCCAGCAACTACAACTCACAAATGTCAAGATTCTATTTTCCCCAAACTCCACCAGTGTTCACATTTGGGCATATTGAGTATTCGTGAAGAATTTGGTCCACATCCATCATGGTTTGAGTCCACAGTGCTCTCTGGATGTAGGTGAACTACAACTCCAAAACCAAAGGAAACTGCCCACCAAACCCTTCCAGTATTTTCTGTTGCTCATGGGAGAACTGTGTGGCAAGTTTAGTTCAATTCCATCATTGGTGCGGTTCAGAATGCTCTGTGATTGTAGGTGAACTATAAATCCCAGCAACTACAACTCCCAGATGTCAGGATTCTATTTTCCCCAAACTCCACCAGTGTTCACAGTTGGGCATATTGAGTATTTGTGTAGAGTTTGGTTCAGATCCATCATTGTTTGAGTCCACACTGATCTCTGGATGTAGGTGAACTACAACTCGAAAACTCAAGGTCAATGTCCACCAAACTCTTCCAGTATTCTCTGTTTGTCATTAGAGTTCTGTGTGCCAAGATTGGTTCAATTCCATCATTGGTGGAGTTCAGAATGCTCTTTGATTGTAGGTGAACTATAAATCCCAGCAACTACAACTCCCAAATGATGAAATCCATTTTTTTTGAGTGAAGGACATATATTGGGTTGTTAGGTGCATCATGTCCAAATTTGGTGCCAATTGCCCCAGTGGTTTTTGAGTTCTGTGAATACCACAAACGAACATTACATTATTATTTATATAGATATAACTGAGATTGCTTATTATATTGGTATGCAGTTTCCCCCTTAACTCTATGTTGTTTGAGGTTGTGGGAGGGACT